AAAAAAAAAAAAAAAAAAAAAAAATGCACCAGTTCTGGATGAATTCTATGATTACTATATACAAGTTGCTACAGCTGTGTTTAATTTCAAAGTTAATGTTTTCAGATTTGCTCCTCACTTCCATGTGGTCAGGGGACAGCAGGATGTAACAGTAAGGGAAGAAGGGAGGGACTGCCAGGAGGGGAAAAGTTGGGAGGAAGCAGAGGGCTATGTGACCCCCTCCTCCCACAGATTTATTTTCCCTGCTCTAGCAGTGGGCTAGGGACAAATTCAAGTCAGACCTCCAATAATTAGAGTCTATACCTGGAAAATTTATAACACCTACTTTTTCCATATAGAATTTAATTATTGGGGGGGTCATCTTATAATCAGGGTAGTTTTCTCTTCAAGTAAATACAGCTAACACTGAGGATAGAAATGGACTCTGTACCTTCTGTTGTGCCACAAATGTTCAAATTTGTGGCCACAATGAATAGTAAATGGAAAGAAGACAGTGGTAAGTTATGCCACTTTAGTGTAGCTGATGCCTGTTTATTTATGGTGGGAGAGCACAGGCACCCAAAGCTGCCCACACTCTGCACCTGCCCTGGGCAGGGGCTCCACATGCTTGAGGGGCCTGGTCCTGTGTACCTTGGGAATTCCCAGGCAGGATTCAGCCCTTCAAGCTTTGGCAGTGCCTGCCTGCCTTGCTTTCCCTGCTTAGCTAGATGTGTCCCTAGAATCTCCAGGGCAGGTCTGGGTAAGTGGGGAAATTCAGGGATTCACCCCAAGGCGAAGTGCATCAGTTTCCTGTTTGCAGAGACGCGCCCCATTGCCAAGTGCAGCCAGTTATCAGCCAGTTGGGGGAATCCCTCTGCAGGGGATTTACCTAGCTTTTCCCCCTCTGGGGTTGCAGGCACGCACAAAGAAAATCCACTGCAGAGAATTTTCACACTCTCCAGCAATACATTACCAAGTTGGGGTTTTGCTCTGCTTGCAGATGTGCTCCCCATGTTGAGGAGTGGCACCCAGCAGTGTCTATAGATGTCCATTTTCAGCCTGAACATTTCCCTCCCCCAGCAGCCTTTGGGGATTGATGACTAGAACTGCAATCTTATCTATGTTTTGGTATGAACTGGGCTCGTTAGCTATCCTTTGACATTCATTTTAGCAGGGCTCTCCTTGTTGCAAAGCAAAATGTTATTTAGTTTTCCCCCCTTCCTCTTCTTCCCTGTTCCTGGAACCACTGCTCCCATAAGCCCCCAAAGACACTTGCATCTGGTAGCACAATCTGAGATTTCTACACAGGAGTAGAACGGTGATCTGGTGAGCTATGGATCATCCATAAATTAATTGTTTGTTTGTGATTTCATTAATAGCTTGAGCCAGTGTTTTCTAATAAAACGTATTGTCTCTTTATTAGGATACCTTCAATATTTATGCTACATTTTGTAGAAGGCTTACCACATAACAACCTGAAGAATTACTCGTTTCAATTTGAAGGAGATTTCTATGAAATAACAATTGTTGTTCAGTATCAAAACAACCAAAAACACTTTGTGACCTGGGTTTTGAATCCTGATGGTAAATACCATAATTTTTTCTTATAACGTATAGAGCTGCCTTGTTTACCAGTTTGGGTTATTGAAATAATGATTGACTTTATTCTAGACAAAAAAATTAAAAGGATTTCTTGTTTGTAAACCTAAAAATTAACCATGCAAATAGGTTTAAGAATTATTTATGCACTTCTTTCTTTTCAAATTCTGATTTGATGTACTGATCCAGTAAATTGCTACCAGTGGAAAAAATGAAAAGTTACCCTGTAACTCTGGTAAAAACAATTTGGGCAGACCTGACCAATTCCTTTGGGTGCTATTTATCAAGCATGTGCATCTCTTGACTGGAAAAAACAAGTTCCCCTCAAACTTAAAGCACTGGCAGCATCTTTTCCCTCTTGATTCTGCTGTTCTTTCTTGAATGCAGCTCCTGCAGTTACTAGCTTATTAGTGAGTAACAGCTTGCAGCCTAAAATTCACAGGGTGGGAGTTGGGAGGAATAGCTTATCCAGCCTCGTGGATGGGAGGACAAAAGAGAAGGGATAACGATCTTACCAGAGCATTGGGATTAAAGTTGTGTATTTAAATTGCCAGATTACATGAAAAAATAACATGATGGAGAAACATTCATTTAAGAAAACCAATTGTTTGTTGTGTCCGCATTGTTTCTCCCATTGTTTTTTAATTAAAGACTTGTATATGTTTTGAGGTATTTGAACTCAGTCAGCCATCATAAGGGGGTTAGCTTATGAGTATTATCAGTTTGCCCCTTAAGTTTCTCCTGTTGGTGAGTTAGTTTGAAAAATTCCACAAAATAACACAGAGAAAGATTGTGAAATATCCAGATGTGCTTAGACAGGAAATCAATGTCCTTGTCATTGTAGTTGAGAGAGAAGTGGCTTTGCTTCCTGACCAAGTTGTTATGATCTAGGAATTTAATTCTGCTCCTGGAAGTGGCCTATTTGTAATCCTCCAGTTTTCCTTCGGTACAGACCAGTTTTATTCTATCTGGTATAGGTGGTAGTAGTATCACACAGTGGGAAGGCACTAAAAACTAATACTCTTGTCAGTCAAACAAATCTGAGAACCCAGTTTTTTATTGGTAGTTGTACTGAGCCTTTAACTTAATCACCTTCTATTTTTCAGAATCCTGGCTTGAATGTGATGACTTAAAAGGTCCATATTGTAATAGATGTGAGAGATTTGAGGTTCCTCCTTCAGAGATTCATATTGTCATCTGGGAAAGGAAAACATCCCAAATGCCAAATAAGCAACATCCACATAAGTTGAGTCCTCAGTTCCAAAGTAAAGAAACTGAAGAGATTTCTCCCCATGATGAACAATCAGATTCTTCATTGTTGCATTGTGATGATCATAATGCTGTAGACAAAATACCAACAATTCATGGCAATGATGGCAGTGTAACTGCTCCAGCTACTACAGAACAGAATTTAGCCAGGGCTGAAAAGAAATTGCTTCATGGCTTGGAACATTTGGCAGATGATGATATTATAACTCTGACGCTTGTAGAAATACAAGTTGATTCTGAAGGTAACCCCATGGAGAATGAACAGATGGTGGAAAATAACCTAGTTGCTGAAACAGGCACAAAGCAGCAGCTGGAATCATCTTGTTTACCCAAAGCTCCATGTATGGGAGACGTCACTGGAGGTAATCAGACTCCAAACACATGCACATCATCTGAAAATGCCAGTGCTTGCTTAACTGTAGGAGAATTGAACCCAGCAAACATTATACCTGCTGTACTTACAAACCATGGTAGTTCCTCACCAGAGCCATCACGTTTTCAGTGGGCAGCGGCTGAAGCAAATGCAGTTAACACAGAGAATGACATTAGGTTAAATTCAGCAGTATTAAAGAACAAGGAGCCATCATTAATGGAGAACGTTACACAGATATTGTCTAATGTGACAAACTCCCATAAAATTGTAGCAGACTCTCAGGTTGCAGCTGTGTCTTCTGTGGAGAATTCCTCTAAGACTTTATGTAAAAATAATAAGAAAGCATTTGTAGGAAGTTGGGTAAAGAAGTTACTAAGCAAGAATGCTGCTTTTATGCCCTCAAGTGCCTCATCTCATTATAATAATAAGAAAAGTTCTAAACAGTCCAGTTCATTAAAAGTTACCGATTTGAACTTGCCTATTAAGGGGGCAAATAATTTTGGTGGCTTCCAAAGCAAAGGAACAAGCAAAACAGTTGACTTGCACTTGCCTAATAAGGGGGCTAGTAACTTCAGTGGTTTCCAGGACAAAGATACGAGCAAAACAATTGAGACTCCTAAATCCGCTCTTCCTCATGGTAGGAAGTTTCCTTCGTTAGCTGTCAACAGTCCTCCTTCAGATGCTTGTCTTCCTGTAGCAAACTCTGTAAGTAATGAAGGTACAACTTCAAATAAGCTTGGAAGCTCACTGAGTATTTTGAATAAAATGATTCAACCCAACTTCAATTCCAGGCATGACCACAGTGGAAATGAGAATCGTACATCTGTTGAGACAGTTAAAGAATCAGATACTGACAAAGCCTGTAGACTTCGTCTCAAACTCCTTAAAAAACTTAATGCTAAAAAAAAGAAGCTGGCTTCACTTGATAAGCTGGTAAAAGCTCAGATGAACAGTGGAAACCTTCCACATACAGATGGAAAAGACCATTCACAATTTGGATCTCAAAATGAAAGTGAACCACTACAGAACTTTTTAAGGGAATTGCAATATCATATTGATGTTGCAGATAATGAATCTGTATATAGTACAAGCTCCAATATGTCACTCTGCAGTAGCCAGAGTAATACTGATGTTTTAGCAGAATTATTGTCTCCTTCAACTGTTGCTTCGTTAGAGGTTTCAAAGGATGAAGAGGAGTGTAGGTATTTGGAAATGGTGGATAATAATATTGCAACACCAATGTCTAGTGAGAAAATCAATAGCATGTGTGTGCCAGTGTCAAGTGAGGACCAAAATTATTACTGTCCTGTAAAAGATAGTAAATATGAAGATCATATAACCTCACTAATGAGCAAATCCTGCTCAAAAAAGCTTTCCTTTGGCCCCATAAAGGAGGATATATTTGAAGACCTGCTCACCACTTCAATGCTAAACTCAATAACTGGTGACATAGATTTACCTCATTTTGATGAAAGTCTGCTTGAACCTTGTTGAATTATTGTTTGGTTTCTTGAGTGTTCAGAATTGTGTGTATATTTTTCAAACAAAGCACTATTAAATTATATTTTCAAAGTGGTTAATTTGCACACTGGTTGTACTTGAACTGTTAACATTTGAAGTATTTGCTGCTTAAACTTCATTATGGCAAGCAAATATAATTTTTATCTGTGGTTTATATTTCTGAAGAAGGTGAGATTTGTTTACATTCATTAAAAACTTTTGTGGCTCTTTTTTGATATTTTTTTTTTCCTTGTTGCCTTTTACATGGTAAATTGATCATTTTTTTTTGGTCCAGAAAAATACAACCTTCAATTTTCTTGACAATACAAGGGATAAGTATATAATGAAAAATCAATCCAGTCGTGTGGGGTTTTTTTGGTTTTGTTTTGATTTAACAAACTGTTCAGGTTTAATTAAATCTTCTTACATCCCTGAGACGCTTGTGAACAGACATGTTGGCATGCTTTTATATGAAGTTGAATTACCATGATGCAACAGTGCAAGGGTGTTACTATCTGAGAAGATTCTCTGTTCTTTTCACAATTTGTTTTGGCCTTGTTCCTCGGGTAAATGCCATCTGGGTTCAGGGAAGGAGTGATGTGAAGGCAAAGATTTCCCCATGTAAGGTAATACAAATATATCTTAGAGCTTATCTTCTGAGTAAATAAAGGTATTTCTGAAAACCATGTGTAAGTAAAGTGGGTAAGATTTTGGTTCTGAAGTCAAAGATAATGTAATGTGCAGCATCAAATTTACCTTGTTTATTTGAATTAATCACTACACATCCAACTAGTAAAATAGGTATTTTATATATATATAATATGAGGAATTTAGAGAACTCAGTCTCTAACTTGTGCACATTTTCCTTTTGAGAAAACAGGAAGGGAAAAGTTGGGAAGGACAATTGGTACCAATGGGAAAAGATGAAGAAAATCAGTAAGAAGGAGGAAAGGGAAGATAGTTTAATCTTGGTGCACATAGATTTGTATATAGGGTTTCACTAATGATGCTTGTATAATTTGTTCCACACAGCTATGGCTATTCTAGTCCTGTATTAGATCAACTGTATGCTGTAGGGTGGGTGGGGAAAACATCTTAAAACATTTTTGCATTCTCAGCAATGGGATATTTTTACATCAGTGCCACTTCAGTGGTACTCTCAAGAACTTTTTAATCCTGAAATTGCATGATTTATATTTCAGGGCCCCTGATTCATAATGTTTTACAGCCATAAATGATCATTCACTTCAGTCTCACTGCCTGCCTATTTGCAGCCCAGTTAACTGCATTTAGCTAGCCATGTCTTCCAGAAAGACACCAGTCTTGACTTGGGACTCCCCAAGGCATGACACTTCCATTGTTTTTCTTCTGTAAATTTTTTCTTAATTTCATTATCGGTGGACAATAAAATGAGTACTGTACATCATAATTTTCAAAAGCTGGTCTTGCACAGTTCTTGTACAAATATGACTTCTGTTGGTTTTTATTTTTTTTAAGTAAAAAAAATCTCTCACCAGAAATTACCTTTGTCCAATTCATCCTGTGGTGGCAATTATTAGGGTATGAAAGTACCCTATACTCCTGTAACTGTTTCCATTGTGGCAATGAGCTTTTCTTGGTATGAAGCACTTCCATATTGCTGAATCTGGATCCACATTAGATGGGTTATACTATAATATATTCTTAAAATCAGTGGAGAACAGTTTTTGTGTGTAGTTGGGTCCTGAAAGTGTAAGTGAAATGAGCAAGGTTGGTTGTTGGAACTATATTGTCACTTTCTATGACTTATGCTTTTTGTTCCATATAAGCCTGATTTTTCTCCCCCCCCTCCCCCTGAAATATCATTCCTTAGTCTGTTTTTTTCACATCAGAAATATGGAGAAGAAACTGAAAATCCTGGTATATTTTAGCCTTTTCCATGGGTAAAAGGTCGTTATTCTCCTACTTCCTTACTGACAAGTTGGCTGGTGGGTTTTTATTTTGGATAGCTAAGAATGAATGTGATAGTACTGCTGAAGGAGAGCTGAAATGAAGATGCATTATGCTGTGAAGTTAGTGGCCATTCATATTTCAGAAGCCAGGAGTTCCATATTCTAGTTCTCTCAACCCTCCCCGTGTTCCTCAACAAACAAAGTAACTATTATCACAAGCTGTGATCACAAAAAAAGAAGTAAAAGAAGTGGCTTTGGATAGTTTGGACAAGTTCCATGCAGCATTTCAGAAATTAGGCCTTGAACTGACTCTTAAACTACATTTCTCTTAACAATGGTGTATCAGACTGGAACACCAAGAAAAAGGAACTTGTATTAAGAATTTTTACAAAGGACTTGAGCTTTTCTTTGATTGTAAAGGTTCTCTGTAATATGCTGCACTGGAAAAGCAAAGTGGAGTGGAGTGTCATGAACGCATCTGTCTGCATTCAAGTTATTAAAAATGATTATTGACTAGAGTGATTGACTGATCTGTAAAATTACAGTTTCTTAAAAACACAGCAAATAATTTACAACAAAGTTTGAGACTATACAGAATGTGGGAAAGAATTGCAGAGTACAGGAGCAGAGGCTCATGGCTGGGCAGTTCCACACCCTAGGTCAGGGGTGGACAAAATCTGGCCCATGGGCCAAGTCAGGCTCACCAAGTGATCTTTATCCTGCCTGTGGCAGGTCCCTCAGCCCCACCTGGTCTAGGCACAGGCAGCAGCCTGGGCTGTGGCACATGTAGCCAGCCCTGCTGTCCCCAGGCACACGGAGCAGTGTGGTGGCTGGACTCCACTTCCTGGAGCCCTAGAAGCAACGGCTCCCTCAGTCCACTGTCACTAGTATGTCTGCCACAGTCGGACCTGGCCTACGCACCCTGCATTCACCACTGGGGGCACTGGACTGGGCAGGATTTCTGTGGAGACAAGCTGGGACCCAAACAGGCAGTACATGCTTGGCAGGGCTGTGAGTTGGTGGGTGGGGAGCAATATCTCGGACTTGGGCAGGCAGGTGGGGTCAGGTCCAGGATCATGTGGTGGTGACAACACAGGGCCTAGACATGGGCCAGCGCCATGATCTGCTATCCACACATCTCTGCAAGATGGCAGGTGGGAAGGCAGGGAAATGGTAGTTGCAGTGGCTGCAGGCAGGAGGCAAGTGGTAGCAAGCAGCAGCACAAGACCTGTGCCAGTGCCCCAGGGCCAGTGGGGCCCAGAGTGGGGCGGCAGGAGCTCTATGGAGCTGGGCTGGGCTATGCCAGCAGGAAAAGGGACAAAATCAGTCGTGCCTTGGGCCCCTGACGGCCATGGCCCTGGGGCACTAGCACAGGACCTGTGCTCATGTCCAACTGAGCTCGTCCCCACTGCCATTCACTCTCCCCATCTGCCACTGCTGCAACCACCATTTCCTTGCTTTGCCACCTGCTGCTGCCCCAGCCCCTGCAAGTCCTGACTGGCTCAGTGTGGTGGCATCCAGGCCAGGCCAGCTACTGCTACATTCTGTGGACCCAGCCTTGCTGCTGGGAACCACATGGTGTAAGGAGCACCCAGTGGGGTGGTGGGGGTGAGAAG